TTGCCAATATGTAAGCTTTACAAATATTTTTGATAAAGTATTAGGTAGAAAGCTTAACAGGATTTTGTTCCATTGTAGAATATAAAAAGAGTTGTAAATGTTTGTATATTGAAAGTTTAAAAACAGAGAGAAGGTATATTGTTTTGCTAAAGAGTTGGCTATGTTATTAAAAGTATTATCTGTATAGACTTGAATTTTGTAAAAGTTGATATTTAGATTGAAGGATTTGATGATATTAAGAAGTGTATGCCATAAAGGTCATATATTAAATTTAAAAAGTTTGTTAAGATTATTGAATTATATAGAGAGTTTGTAGTACTTAGATATAACTGATTATAAGTCAGTATAGATTTAAAGTATTGCATTATAAGGTACAATTAAAATAGCAGATAAGATAGAAAAAAACCCTGCCTTATAAACTAATAGCCAAAAATGAATTTTAGCTGAAAATTTAGAAAAAACTTAGTTGTTACTATCGATTTGAACCTATTTAATACTTATTAAGCTTTGTTTAGTTCCAATATTAGATACTAATCTATCAGTATAAAAAATAAATTTCTTATATAACAAGTTGTTTTAAAAAATTTCTTCAAGTTTGTTTAAACAGTTATTAGGTTTAAAGAGTTTTGTAATAATAAAATTTAATATGTTGATGATAGAATAGTTATGTGGAATTTGTAAAGGATGTTTAATTGCTATTGAATAAATAAGATCTAGGTAGTTAGCATTAAGTTTAAGTTTGAAAGTTTTTTTTTCTAGAAAGCTAGTACAGATAGTTGCTAAAATGTTAATTATGCATGTTTGCTTAACTCTGTTTGAGTTAAGATAGCATCTAGTATATAATATGCAGTTTAAATCTAGAAGTAGGTAATTGTAATTATGTTCTAAATCAATATTTGTATTTCAATGTGAGATAGAAAACTGGTTTGTGTTTGGAAGATATTTGTGAATTTTGCCAATAATAATCTCTTTATTATTATCATTGTAAGTAAGTAGCCAAGATTTAAGTTTTTTCTTAATTGGCAAAGTATTATATGCAAAAGTATTAACTTCTAAAAGTTAAAAATAGAGAAGAATTAGGCAATGTAATCTGTTAGATAAAGTTGTATCTTTCAGTAGGTAAATCAGAAAGGTTGCCTTCTTTTTGTTAGATTGTAAAGTCTTGGTGAAAGGTGATGTTATTTAAGTAATGTACTATTGTCTGCAGTATATAATTGCTCTAAGTAGAATATATTGTTTTTTTGAAGTTGTTTTCTAAAAATATAATATTTTGGATATTGACTAAGTATTGGTTCTAGTAGTTGATATTTATCATGAAAAGTGTTAGGCCACAAGATATTAGAGTTGGCTAAAATTGATATGCCAAGGTATTATAGAAGTTGTATAATTTTGAAGTTAAGTATAAGTTTGTTAGGTTTATCTATAAATGGTTTGCTGTACTGAAGAATATTAGTAGCAGACCAAAGGTTGTTTTGGAGTTGCTATAGTTAGATTTTGGTAGAAATACCAAAAATCTTAAAGTTATTAATTTTTTATTGAAAGCAGGATATATGATGTTGTAGTTAAATATTTCAAATATTATATACATTATATATATAAAGGTTAAACATAGTGCTGTTTGGGCTGATATGAAAAAGTTTAGCTTTATGTTTGATCATAGTAAGATATTTGAATAAAATACTATCACAAGTAGAGTGTTTAAGAATGATGTTATGTAATCTGTATTCAATAGTAGGAATGATTATAGTATTAGTAATATAGATGGCTTGTTTGTCTGTAATTCTTTTTGTGCCAATAATATTGATAAGTTGGATTATTTATTATAAATTAGTTGGCTTTGTTTTGTATATGAATTATTAAGAGTAAACCAACATTCTAAAAATTTATAGTTGGTTAGCAGAAATTGATGTAAATAATAAGCTAAAGAAATAAATAGGAGCTGTAAATAGTATGTTTGATGTAAGAATTAATTTAGTTAGATTAATTTGAATATTAGCTATATGATAAAAGAAGGTAGCTGTGGCAATGATTAATTGTAATTCTTTTTTAGATTTTGTTATCCAAAGTGTATCATCCATATATACTAATACAGATACTAAGGTTTGAAGTTGTTAAAGTTTTGATCAAAACAAACTAGTATTTCACTTTGTGGCCAAAGTGTATTCTAAAAAGTCTGAAGCTATTTTGTTTATAAGAGAATTGTAATAAATTTACCAAAACAGCAAGGTTATAGTTTCTTCTTAATCAATGCTATTTCTAACATTATAAGAATTAGTAAGGTTTAAATTTGTAATAACTCAGTTCTGTCAATTGGTAAACAGATTAGTAAGAATATTGATAAGATTGGATGGCATATGTAGATGTAATAAAGATTTGGTGAAGAGTGTGAGATCTACAGAATTATAAGCTTTGCTCATGTTCTGAGATAAGAGCCAAAATTGTTTAGAGTTATAGAAAGCTTTTTCAATAATGTTATTAAATATATATATAGGAATAGCTGTGCTATTACCAGATAGAGCTATATAGTTAAAAGGTAACAAAATTTTATAATAGGTAAAGATATAGTTAAGTTAGTTGATGAGAAGTTTGGTATAGAGTTTTTTAATATATTCAAGTAAACTAATAGGTCTGGTATTAGTTAAGTTGCTATTAAAGATAGGTTTTTTAGAGATAGAAAAAATTCATTCTTTTGTTTATTGATTTGAAATTGACTGAATGTAAGACAGTGATTAAGAAGAACTATAATTGTATTAAGAAATACTGTTTCAGCATGTTTAATTATCTCATAGCTGATGCCTGATGGTTCACATGCTTTGTTGTTTGGAACTTGATTAATAACTTCAAGAACTTCTATAAAAAAGAATTCCTTAAGTGCTGGTTGATACCATATAGGATCAATGTTCAGTTTAGATTAGTATTCTTGTTGTTATATTGTGTTGAATAATTGTAGTTAGATGTTTCTAGAAGCTGTCTAATCATTGAAGTATTGTTGAATATGTTGTTTGATAAGTGATGGTTCAGTGATAATGTTGTTTGATTTTTTAATATTGTCAAACTTGACAGAATCTTTGTGTTGATTAAGTATACTGTTGATCATTGATGTTAGACTATTTTGTCATACATCTTTTGGCTATATTATCATTAATTTGTTCTCTTATATTTTTAACATTTTCTAAGTTGTGTGCATAATAAAATGTTTTTCACTTTGTGTTGGCTGCAGTTATCTAATTAAGTAGAAGGTTAAGATCTTGGAACAATATAGATATATTAAGATGATAAAAAGAGTTAAGTTGATCAATATTTTGATTGTAAAATATAAGCACAGAGGTATGAATATAAGATGCTGCTTTAACTTGTCTTATGATATTGCCTAGCTTTTTGAGTTTTGAGTATAGTTTGGATGCATTAGAGGAAAATATGTGATATAAAATATATGTTAAGAAATTTATTTTATATATATAAATATAAATAAAATTTTTAAATTTTAAAAAAATTTTATAATTACTAATTTTTTTATATATGTTATGCTTCAAACTAATGTTTGCCTCAGATTACAGCTAATACACCTCAAATGATAATTATTAGATGAAATGCATAGTCTGTAAATCTGTTATCTAAGATGCCTTAATCATAATTTGATACAAAAATGTTAGTTTAAAATAAGTTTTAACAAAAGTAAAATATAAATAATGTTAGAGCATAATTAATGTGAATAAAAAGTCCTTTGGTTTTGGGCTGTTTAACTATTTCATATTGGCACTTACTCTTTTTGCTATCTTTACATTCAATATTTTTTTTTATTTTAACACTTTTCTTGCCATCTTCACATTTCTCAGTATTTTAATTTTTTAATTTTTAATTTTTTTTTCTTTGATATAAAATGTATCTTTATTAGCAAAAGTACATTTGATCAAATTATAGAAAACTATATAACAAATCTTTCTGAATCTAAACAAATAAAAGCACTAATAAGCTTTGAACTTCTAAATAAGATAAAAACTATCTTAACAATCCAAATAACAATACTCTTTATAATAAAGATACTTATAATTAGGCCAAGAAAAGGTTCAAAGTTAAGAAAATTAAACCTAGTAATTATAAGATTGTAGTTAAAGCTTCTAATAATCCTGTGCTATGTGTTAAGAAATTTTATAACATTTTGTATCATATTCATGTCATAGTTACCCAGCATGATAAACAAAAACAAACATAAAAAACTGTACAAAAAAAATAAGATTGAATCAAGCAGAACTTGGTTAAACAATTTGTTAATAATTGTGCAATATGCATCATTAGAAAACCTTCATTCTACCTTCTTGCAGCTAAACTGATAATAGCAAATAATTTTTTATTCAGAGTTCAAGTAAATTTATTTAATTTAATTTAATTTATTTTTTATTTTTTTAATTATAAAATTATAATCAATTTTTTTTAATTTATTTACAGATGAATTTAATAGATCTCTTATTTGATTCAGATAGAAAATTCAAATATGTATGTCATGTAAGAGACCACTTTATCAGATTTTTCTAGGCAAAAGCACTTATATCAAAATAAGCGATTGAAGTCACATCTTATTTTTTTGACCTTTTTTATTTGATTGGGTTATCACTAACAATATTATAGTTAGATAATAGCAAAGAGTTTGTCTCACAAGTTATTAGAGAACTTGTCAGCCTATAGCTCTCTGTGAAAATTATTAATGATCATTCCAGACACCCCTAGTCATAGAGGCTTGTCAAAAGAGCAAATTGAATCTTAAAACAAAAATTGAAAAAGTGGAAAAAAATTACTAGTTGAAGTGACTGAGCATTTGGTCTAAGGTTTGTTATCATAACAATGAACAATTCATAGTATTAAGCATATAAGAAGATATTATATGAACTAGTCTATAGGAATAAATCTTGTGATAACTATACTTTGGTTAATGACCTATATGCTAATAATGTTTATAATAAAAAGAATGTTTTAGATACAATGAAATTCAAACTAACAGCATCATGGATTTAGATGATAGTATAGATAGTAAGTTTTTATTTCATTTTTTTATTATTTATTTGTTTAGTATATATATTTTATATATTTATTTTATTAGATCAAGACTTAGAACCTTCATATCTAGTATCAGAACTCTTGCATTCAGTATTCTTGCATTCAGAATCAGAATTCTTATATTCAGAACCAGAACCCTTGTATTCAGAACCAGAACTCTTGTATCCAAAGTCAGAACCTTCGTATTTGGAACTAGGACCTTCAAGCCCAGAATTCTTGCATTCAGAACCTTTGTATCCAGAATCTTTGTCTCTAGAGCTATCACATCAAGAATCAAATAATTATGTTAGTTTTTTTTTTTTTTAAAGATTTATTATATAAATTATTTAAAGATTCTACTAACTTTATTGATCAGAGTCAAGATTTAACCTCAGTTCTTGTGGATTCTACAAACTACTATTCTAATGTGCAATATAAAATTTTACAAGAATTAGCTCAAAGAGAACTTCAATTATATATGGAAGAGATAACTAAACAAATATTAAAAAAAAAAAATTGACAGAATTCAATATTGGTAATTTTGTTCATATAGATATTCCAAAGATTGATTGGTTTGCTATTGATTGTTCTAACCTCTCTTGCAAAGTTATAGGAAAAACTAAAAATCAAAAATATTAACTAGAATGCAAGTATAACATAATTAATGTATGCTATTTGTCAGATAAAATTAAAGCACTAGGAACTTTTACCTATTTTGAACTTGATATTATATCATCAGATCAAATATCTGTTTGAAAAGCATCAAGGCTGCAAAGTATTAGACTAGTATCTAATTCTATCTGTAATTGTAAAAGTTTGTATAATAGCAAACAATGTAATTATAAAAAGGTAAATAAGAAATGTTCAAATAGATGTCATAGTGGAAGGTCATATTTAAATAAAGATTAATTAAATGTATAAAACAATAGTTTAATAATTTAAGTTTTTAATTAAAGTGAAATAAGTAATACAGTCAATTATTGTATTTGAAATTTTTTTTTAAAAAAAATATTACTACATTTGTTATACATGTGATCTTATATTGAATATCAATAAAATTAATTGCATCAGATTATAATTGAGGCACCTCAGATAACAGATCTACAGGTTATATACCTTATCTGATGATTATCATTTAAAATGCATTAACTGTAATTTGAGGCAAACATTAGTCTAAAGTACAACATATATAAGTATTGTAATAAAATTTACTAAAAACTAACAAGTTGTAGTAATTTTAAATGCATGAATGCCAAGTAGAAGATCTTTTATTTAAAAGAAAATAAGATAAATAAAAATAACTAAAAATAAAAAATAAATATTTAAAAATGAAATTTAAATTTAATAGCCTCCTAGATATTATAAGAATTTTTACAATAGGCTAGTTGTAAGGAAGATTTGACCTATTGTCCTTTTTGTATTAGCCAGGCTTAACAAATAGTTTACTCTTTACAAGAATTACCTGTACTAGACTTAGAAGTATCCTAAGACACTAAAAGAGGCAATTAGCAACAGATAATCAGGCTGTCCTAAGCTATATATAGCTTTTTAAATTCCAATAACATAAAGCTAATACCTGCCAAAATACTATTCGCAAATACAGCTATTACTTTATATTATTACAAGAAAGAAAAATAAAATATTCAATAATATAAAGCTAGTATTTGCTAAAATAACTAATTAAGAA